GGGGGAAACAATGGGCCGACGACACATCCATTGGTTGCCTCTTGCTGTACTCGCAACCTAAGGGTATGTGCCCCGACCAGGAATCGAATCTGTGACCCTTGTGACTCTTTGGTGTACCAGACAACAGGATGACACTCCAACCAAGTGAGCCACAATGGCCAGGGCACATGTTTCCTATTTCACAGCTTTAAATAACCATCTGTATCATCTCCTACCCCAAACAATGTAAAAATCACCTGTATAATCATTCTGTATAGAAAGTTTAATACAATTACAAAGAGAAGAGAACTCTTTTTTTTTTTTTTTTTTTAGTCAAACAAACAACTTTAACATGCTTTTCAGGAAAGGTACTATGTGTAAAATGCTAAACCTTCATACATTTATTAGACTCCTTGATCTTTCTATCAGAACATACAGACTTTCCAAATGTTCTGAGAGAAACTAGAATAAATGTCTAATAACAGGAGAATTACAAAAGTATTTCATTCTGCACATGAAATATTAAAATGTAGTTGGTTCCCATCTAGATTATTTATTGCATATTAACCTCTGCTGGTGATGCAGTATGGTTACAGAAGCTTACCCTTACCTTGCATTTCAGTCCTAAAGTAAGCCCAGAAATTTGTTGAGCCTGAACACATACAAAAATCACTTGTCTACACTTGGCCACTTCTCAACCAATTACTCTCAACCCCAGAATTTAGCTGGATTATAAGGGAACAAAAGGACAGAGGTTAACTCCACAATGCTCTAGACTAAAAATAATAGAAACAAGGATTAATTTTAGATAAAATGGTTGTTTACTTGTGGTATAATTTATAATCAAAGTTATGATTTTTAAAATTATTTTAATTATGAAATTAATAAATATTCATTGTAGAACATTTGTAAAATACAGGTAAACAAAAGAGCTACATAATTCTTCATAGTATTACTAATCTACATTCTAATCAATCAGAAAGCAACTTACAAGTTTTTCTCAGTTACTTTCTTTATTTAAATCCAAACCATCTTTCATCTCTTCTACTCAAACTATAAACTTTGTCATAAATACTTTTAGCTAACAGTTTAAAGCAGTATTTTCATATTTATGCATTGTTATTCACATGACAAATATATATCTACCTACAAAAATCATCAAGGGTGTGTCTAATTTCCAGTATACCATTAGTACTTCCACTGCTTTCTTTTTCAAGAAAGAAAGCACACTAGCATGTGATTGAGATTTGATAAAGCAATAACCTTGAGTTCAAACATCATACAAAAAATAAATGTAAGTCAGCCCTAGCCTGTTTGGCTCAGTGGTTAGAGCATCAGCCCTCAGACCGAAGGGTGCCGGGTTTGATTCTGGTCAAGGTCATGTACCTCGATTGCAGGCTTGATCCCAGCCCCGGTTGGGAGCATTCGGGAGGCAACCAATCAATGAGTCTCTCTCCCCTTGATGTTTTTCTCTCTCTCTCTCCACTGCCCCCTTCTACTCTCTCTGAAAAGTAATGGAAAAAATATCCTCAGTTGAGGATTTAAATAAATAAATAATAATAAATAAATAAAGTAATTAAGTTACATGTAAACTCTGAACTTTAGCACTAGTTACAGATTATGGTACAGATTATGGTATTTCTGATCTCAAAGCACCAATGCACCTAAACATAGTGGCTGGAGCTACTGGTTTGAAGTACTATTTGGTACTACTGAAAGGAAATCGTTTAAAATCCTTCATAACTTAAAAATGAATGTCATGGAAAGAGTATTTTTAAAGCAATGTAAGTCAACAGTGTCAAGAAATTGACTGGATAAAAAAGGTGAAGGAATTAAGAAATACAAATTGAGCCCTGGCTGGTGTAGCTGTTGGTTGAGTGTCATCTTGTGCACACAGAAGGGACACTGATTCCATTCCCAATAGCAGGCATGCAGGAGGCAACCAATCAATGTTTTGTTCTCACATTGGTGTCTCTCTCTCTCTCCTCCACCCTTGCTTTCTTTCTCTCTAAAATCAATAAAAACATATTTTTTTAAAAAAGAAATACAAATTGGTAGTTACAGAATTGTCATGGGAATGTAAAGTAGAGCATAGGGAATATAGTAAATAATATTGTAATAACTATGTGTGGTGTCAGGTGGGTACTGGAAATATCAGGGGGAACACATTTTATATGTTTGTCTAATCACTATTCTGTACTCCTGAAACCAATACAAAATATTACTGAAAGGAAACTGTAATTGAAAAATTGAAAAATAAAGAAATTAAGGTCATCTAGTAAGAGTAATACAATTTGCTAAATAGCATAAAACTAGTTATTTATATACTCACCATTTGTGCATTAGAATCCCCCAAAGACTGAAGTTCATATGGAACAGGTTGCCCAGTTTGGTCCACTAGGTCAAATTGCTCTGTAGAAAGAGTCTGTGCCTGAGTCAGGGGCCCTGGTATATTCTGTGATGTGAGTGAATTATCTTCATGAATAGTGATAGGTAAAATTCTACCACAACTATTTTGTCCAAAGGAAGGATCCCTGGAGTCCATACAGGTTGAATGCTTTGCAAAAAAATAATAAATAAATAATCACTTGGGTGTTTGTAAAACATAACATCACAATTTTTTTAAAAAAATAGAATGTTTATAATAAAAATGAAAAGATATTCTTTTTTCAGTTAATTATCCACTTTATACTTTGCAAGAGTTGTCAATTCACAGACTAATAGACAGAAAGCAGTTTTTAAGTGAAATTGTTGATTTTTATTATATTTAATTTCAACTTTATTGAAATAAAATTGTCCATGAAACACAACCTGAAGTGATGAAGTACAATTCAATATATGGATTTTCCTTGTGATAAAATTTTATGAATATATAAAATTAAATGATAGAATTGTGGATAACACAATGTTAAAATTCTTGAAAACATAAGGTATAACACTATTCCTTAAGCATAAAAAGTTGTTAAATGGCATGCTGTTTTCCCTCAGAATGGCAAAAAGTTCCCAGTTGAATCCCTACCTCAAATTACCTGAGAGTCTGTTTTTGAATCTTCAGGATCATTATGGTTGACTATTAATGAATCATGAGACTGTTCCATGCTGATACCATATTCAATCCCATTTTCTTCTATTATTTAATAGCTGAAAGAGTTCAAATATCTGATCAACTAAAGCCCTTAACATTTTTACAAAGTCTATGTCTAAAACAAATCCCTCATCTCCCCCACTGTATACAGCTTAGGTTAAATTATTGCCATTCTATAAATAAGAAAATAAACATTTTTGCTAAATGACTTGCCAAGGCAACAGAATATATTCAAGGCAGAATATAGTGTTACGTAGTTCCTTCTTCCTATCCTTAAGTATACTCACATACTGGCTTATTAAGATTGCTATTATGTGGAATGTACTGTTATACCCTTCAAATACTTCTAAAATTCTCATTTTACAAAGATTTAATAAAAATAAAGCTTTTTAACTTTATGAGTTAGTTGTACCCCACTGTAACATTAAATAATTTCAGAAAATATCTCTTGGTATAGGTCGAGATTATGAATACATAACTCTTACCATAATATACAATCAGACAAGCTTTGAACATAAATAAATATGTATTCCAAAACGTTTGAGCCATTAAGGCCTAGTACAGTGATTTTCAACTGTGGCAATTTGGTCTCCTCACATACTCCCCAGCCCTCAAGGATATTCAGCAATCTCTGGAAACATTTTTGGTTGTCACAATGTGGGGTAGGGGAGAGTGCTTCTGGTATCTAATGGGGTACTGCTAAAAATTTTAAAATGCACAGGACAGCCACCACAACAAAGATGTCAGTGTCGCTGAGGTTCACAAACCCCTACTATATTGTAGTGAGTACAGGATTCTGTATTATCTTAAAATATATATATTTTATGTCTTAAAACTGGAGTAAGGCTAAAATGAAACTGAAGAATACCACTGAAAATTTATAATATAAAATAAACCTCATAGAATCTTTTTAAGAACCCACCCATTTTATTTTATTTTTCAAAGGACAGCATACATATTTTTAAATCTTTAAAATTTTATTTTTTAAATTAACATGCATTAAATTGAACTTTTCTGTGTGCGTATAGTTCTATGGATTTTAATAAATGTGTCTATGTAACCACCATCACAATTAGGATACACAATAAATCCATCACCCTAAACCCTAATTTAAATGTATACCTTATACTTTAGATTTATTTAGCATATATATTTGAATACATTAAAACTTACTTTTCTGTGATAGTATGTAAGCATTCATTTGTAAAATTAACCATTTCATAAATCTATAAGGTTAGCCATTTCCTATTTCCAAAATATTGAAACTATTTCTACCTCAAATATAAATTGTAATAGGTTATAAAATCACTCTTATTTTTAATATATAACTATGAAATATCTTTAAATTGCTTCTCCTTTAAGATTTTAAATTTTCACTTGTATTCTAATCTATTACAAAAATTCCAAAAAATTGTAGTTGTTTTTTGAGCTATAAGAGAAAAATTTTATTTTATAACCTTCTGTTCTGAAGTTTTTACACTATATATATGTGTATATTTGTGTGTGTGTGTGTGAGTGTGTGTATATATATCTTAAGAATATTTTTAAAAAGGTGTTTAAAAAATAAAAAGAAAATTCTAATGACAATATGGCAGATTAGACACCATAGAGGACTCTCTTGCTATAAAACAAAATATAGAGAGTTGATCTAAAAATCTTTGTGTCTGGGATCTGCTACAGGAAGTAAAAAACCAGAGGCCATTCCCCATCCTCCCTCCTCTCCCCACAGGAAAAAAAAAAAGCAAAAGCTGTGAGCTAAAACCTAAGTGATAAGCACAAGCAAAGAGAAAAATCTCCCCAAAGGCCAGTGCTAATACACATTTTATGGCTGGGAAACTGGGGCTTAGACAAGCAGCTGATAGGGCAGGAGACTTTACTCCCAAGATAAAACTAAGAACTTGAAAGGTCCTAAACCAAAACTGTAGCCTGGCTTTCAGTAAGAAAAAAATGCACCTATTATTTGGAGGAACACAAGCCCAAATAAGGCTTTGGTTTCCTTTTACATTAAGATCAATGGCAAAAACACAAGGAAATAACCACCATAAGAGTCAGCAAATTTAGAAACTCCCTAAAACCTTCAAATATTCAACCCATATAATACTGAATATAAAATAATTATTTAATGTTTAAAGAAATAAAAAGAATGAATCACAGCAATAAGTAGGCAATGAGAGTATCAAAACTGAAAAAGAACCAAACAGAACTTTCAGAAATGAAAACTGTAATTGCTAAAATTAAAAAAGCAATGGATAAGAACATATATGCATTTATGCACAGCCCATGGACACAGACAGCAATGTGGAGAAGGCAGGGCAGGGTAAGGGGGCGGAGGCTGGGTAGAGGGGAGAAGGGAGGGAATAGGGGACATCTGTAATAGTGTCAACAATAAAAAAATATATCTGAAATATTTAAAAAGAAAGAATTACTAAATTGGTAGACAGATTTTAAAAAACTATCCAGAATGCATTATAGGAAAAACAGAAATAAAAAATACGCAGAAGAGAAATTAGAAAAATAGAATGAGAATGTACACCATATCTATAATTGGAGTCACAGGATAGAAAAGAGAAAATGGGTGAGACAATATTTGAAGAGATAATAGCTGACAATTTTTCAAAACTGAAGACATGAATCCATAGATAAAGGAAATACAAAATGCACCAGGATAAATCAAAAGAAATCCAAATGCAATGTAGTGAAAATGCAAAATTCTAAAGAAAAACAGAACTGAATCCACATATTGATCTAATTGCAGACTAGCAAACCTTAAATGCATACTGTTAAGTGAAAGCCAGTCTGAAAGGCTACATACTGTATGAATCCAAATACGTGCCATTCAAAAGGCAAAAAAAAACTATAAACATAGTAAGAAGACCAGTTGTTACCAGAGGTTGGTTATGTGAGGGTAATGGAGAGATGAGCAGATGAAGCACAAGAGATTTTTATGGTGATGAAATGATTTTTTTATAATACTGTAATGATGGATACATGACATTACACATTTGTCAAAATCCATAAAACTGCGTAACACTAAGAGTGAACCTTAATGAAAATTATGGACTTTTGTTCATAATAAAGTATCAATATTGGTTTATTAATTTTAAGAGATGTACCACACTAATGCAAGATGCTAATAATAGGAAAAACTGTTTGCTGGGGAAGGGGTAAGTAGTGGGGGAAGAAATATGGAAACTTTTGTATGACTTGCTCAGTTTTTCTGTAAATCTAAAACTAAAACTGTACTTAAAAAAAAAAAAAAAAAAAGGCAATCACGGTGACTGTAAACTAAAGCCAATAACAAATCACAGTATATAAACTTCAAAATTATCTTGAAATTTTTGGTTAAGTTGCTACACTCTAGAGTAGACAATGTTGGAGTTAGGGTGTACAAGAAAATATATTATTTTTTCATTAACTTCTAAGATAAAAACTGAGAGGGTTTTGTTAGTAAAATGGTATAAAACAGTCGAAGAGAGTGTTCTGTAGTCATGTAGTATGGGTTTGAATTTCAGTTTAGCACTTACTTGTCAAATTAGTTAACCACTACTCTGAGCTTTAGTTTTGTCATCTGTAAATTGGGAATAATATTGCATCCATCTCATAGGGTTGTTATAAAGATTAATAATGTATGCAAAGGGCTTGGTGAAGTTCCCAGTATACTGTCAGTACTCAATAAATTATTTTACTACCTATAATTATGCAAACTAAGGTCAAATTTTCACCTAAATAGATACCTAAATATACTAAATAAATCCTTGAAAAAATATAAAAACTTTTACTCTTTAAGATGACTAATAGGCTGTATTTCAATATTATTGTTTAGTTTAAAAATTCACACATCTCATAAACGTAGTAGAGAAAAAGCTTGGGGTTAATCTAGATTTGATAAAAAAGTCCAAATTGTTACTTTCTCTGAACTTCCATTTCTAGTTCTTTAAAATGAGTCAGTATGAGTGAGCTCTAAGATCCCATCTAGTTCTAAGATTTTGTTTCTAATAGTTGGTTATCCTGATGATTTAAAAAATTCATTTGACTATTGTTTATTGACTGACTTCTAACGTGCACTGAGCAGAAAAATAAATTCTATTCACAGAGAAAACTTTTACAAAGTTTAATTCCACTGAAAATAAGTCCTACTGAGAGACTTGTTAAAACTGAAATAACTACTGTCATGAATATAACATAATTTTTAAAGTAAATTAAATATACTGAAATACTGTCTAAACATGATATTAAGACATACTTTTGAGAGCTCTTTATTTACTTATTTTTGTTAATACTCATCCAAGGTTATGTTTTCCATTGATTTTTAAAGAGAGTAGAAGGGGGCAGGGAGGGAAGGGGGAGGGAGGGAGAGAGAGAGAGAGAGACATCAGTGTGAGAGAGGCACGTTGCTTGGTTGCCTCCTGCAAGTACCATGACCAGGGCTGAGATCAAACCTGAGACCCTTCAGTGAGGGGGCTGATGCTCTAACCGCTGAGCCACACCGGCCAGGGCTGAGAGCTCTTTATTTTGATATTTAAATGTAAGTACTTATTATGATAGAATAGATGATTTAATGTCTATTGAATGCTTTTAAACTTAATTATTAGCTAGATTAACAATCACTCTACTATTCTGTGATGTAGGACCTATTATCACCGTTTTACAGAAAAGAAAATTGCTCTCTGCTCAAGGTTATAAGGTTATAATTTATTGAGCACTTACCATGGTATAGAGCTATGCTAAAAGTGTTTTAGATATGTCATTTATTTAATCCTTTCAACAACCCTTCGATTCAGTTACTTTCTCCAATTTCCATATGAGGAAATAAGACTCAGACAATTAAGTAACTTTTATCAAGGTTACAAACATAGCAAGTGGCTGAGCAAAGACTCAAATCTACATGTATTGATTGATCTCAAAGCCGACTCTATTATTATAACAGAAATGTTTTTGAGGGAACAAAGTTCCCTCCTTCCTTCATTAGTCATAGCTTTAAATTTTTTTTTTTTTTTTTTTGATAGGTTAACAAGTTAAAGATGCTAAAAGAGGTTCTTTGTTCATTGGTTCTCAACTTTCCTTGGTTGTAATTTAATTATGGGCAATCCCTAATACACAAAAGCCCTCCACCAAGCAATCTAAAGATCTCTGACCTCATCAGAAAGCTATTCAAGAGCTTGGGAGAAGTTATAAACTGCAAATAGCTTAGGGGCAAGAATTCTAAAAATGTACTCTTAGCTTCCTAAGGTGCACTGATCTTATTACAAATTATCCCTTCTGGCCTAAATTTTTTTCATTTTATTTAATTTCTTTAACCCTGTCTAAAATTTCATCAATGAAATTTTCTTTAAAAACATTTTTTTTAATTCAATGATTTTAGAGAGAGAGGTAGGGGAATAAAGAGAAACACTGATTTGTTGTTCATGCATTCATTGATTGCTCCTTTTATGTGCCCTGGCCAGGGATGGAACTAGCAACCTTGGTGTATGGGGATGACACTCTAACCAACTGAGCTACCCGACCAGGGCTCATCAGTGAAATTTTCATTGAAGTTAATAAGCATTTTCTCTCAAAAAGAAAACTTTGTAAATAGTATCAGTCATTAACAAATTTGTGTAAATTTACATAAGGATAGCTTTCTTCCTTTAAGGTAAGTTAAAAACAGCTACAGTGAAAAGTTTAATTTAGAGGTGAGAAAGCAAGTACATCTGAGGCTCAGAGCACTTAAAAGGGATTGGGCAGGCCTGACTGAGCTAGATGCTGCAGTGAGGATGTGGGGCAGGATGAATGTCCCGGAAGTGTATTAAAGCAGGGGCGGGGACGATGTTAAAACGAGGAAGACTGCCAAACATAAACCACTCACTTCAGAACTTTGCCCAGACTGGGATCCTGCCAATGGAAGAAAGATAACTTATTTTTCTAATGTCTTCTGGGACCTGAAAACTCAAAATTTTCCTTTCAGTATGTAGTACAATACAACTGTATTGTGAGTTAAACAAGCTTTTAGTGATTGCACTGGGAAAATACTACTTAGTTTCTGCACACAAAATTGCGTTTCATTATCTATTGACCTAACCCATTGCTGATCTGGAGATTAAAAGCACATTTTTAAGAAAGACACCCTTTTAAAAAATAATTTGAATGCAGTGTAAAGTATTATTCCTTCCTCCCCTAATCTTTCTACTAATCTGCATTGCCTTTAAATATGTCAAAGTAAAGTTTTTTCAAGAATGAAGATATTAATATTAAATAACTAGGTATTTTCCAACAGATAGCCATAAACATAACAAAGTACCTATGTGACTTACAAAGTATAATGTGACTTTTTCCCTAATTTGTAATGGACAATAATGAACTTTTATGACAGCTATTGCTTTCAATTAGTTAAAAATAAAATTATTACCTTCAGGAAGTAGCTCAAGTTTAAATTCCAGGCCTCAAGCATTCTACTACCCCCCAAAATGCCCTCTTGTCCACTGAAGCTCTTCTTTTCTGCGGCGCTAAAATCATGATAGTAGTAGCTTCATTTATGTGAAAGATATAATTATGTCTTCATAGCAGCATTTTTCTCTGTAATGAGAAGGTATTCAATGTATATTTTATTTTCCTACACATAAAGAAAAATACTAGATTTTGTTTGCAGGTTTTATTATAAAATAGCCATTACAAGCCTTGTATAGTAGAACCGTGAGCTTACTCAACCGACGAGAACGAAAGACTAGAACTGACTTTACAGAGAACTTCCCTTGCCTTGTGATAGGTGACTTAACCTGTTTCCTTATCTAAAACCAGGCATTTGGACTAAGTTTTTGTTTCAACTCTCACATTCTAGAACTACTGAAACAAAGACCTCAGCAGCAAATTACATTTTTTTCTATAATGAAAATATTTACTAATAGAGCATCTTTTGGAGCCATGGAAGCTTCAGAATAAAGGCCTCCTCCCGATACCCCACCCCTATAAAACCCTGAAATTGATCTGAGAAGCTTATTTCTTAAGCAAGTAGCCTTGGGGTTGGATAAGAGAACAGGAGAAAGTATTAAACATGTCACCTATACAGCTAATGATTGGACTTCAGAACACACACTAAGGCATTAAATTTTGCTGGCAAACTGCTTTCTAGAATGTTTTATACTACATTTAAAAAGTGGATTTTAGCCTGGACGTTGTCGACTCACGAACCAAGAATTCACCAGTTCAATTCCCGGTCAGGGCACATGTCCAGGTTGTGGGCTTGATCCCCAGTAGGTGGTGTGCAGGAGGCAACCGATAGATTTTTCTCTCTATTCTTCTCCTTTCCTCTCTCTCAAAATCAATAAAAACATTTTTTAAAATGGATTTTACCTTATTGCAAAAGCAAAGATTAGGAAGAAATTGTTAAGTTAGATGTTTTTATTTATAGGGAAAAAGGGCTTTTTATTGTTTATACATATTTACCATATGGCAAAGAGGAAGAGACTATTCAGGGTGCAGTCACTCATATCTCTGTGGGCCATGCTTGGGCTACTGCTGTTTTGATTTTATTCAAGAGCATTTCTATTTGTTCAAAAACTTAGAGGCAATCCTCAGCTGTAATTTCTAAAAATCTGTCTTAATATCTGATTATCTTTTCTCCTATAGACTTTTATGTAGTAAAATTTATCCATTAAAACCAATAGTCTGAGGATAAATCCCCAAACAGCTAAAGAATAAAGCCACTTGAGGTTTACAGTTTCTCTTAATTCTATGCACCTTGTTTAGTGTCTCAAGATTTAAAGCATCCTGAAATCTATTCAATATCAGTATCAGATCTGATTGATGACATTTAAAAAATATTGCTCAAAAGTACTTTAGAAAATGTCTTTCATCTTTTAGAGCAGGTAAATGACATAATGCACCTTTTATGATCTATACAAAATTAATATGAATCAGTGGTGTCAAAATTAAATCAAGACTACTAATTCACAAATATTTTATAGAATAATTTATTTTTTAAAGATGGGTGAAAGTTATAGCGTGCTAAATCAACATCAAAATTTTAAATTTATGTAAATTTATATAGAAACAGTAACCTATTTTAACTTTTCATTTTTCAGTGAAAAAAACTTCAGGCTAGTGTTCACAGTGTCTCTCTGATCTAAAGTTGGTCCTCCCTATAAATTCCCCTGTGATCTTGGTTACTATCCATTTCTTACCACATATGGACACACCCCTTTTTACCTCTTTGCTCTTTGAGAACTTTACAAATTATTTCATGTAATCCTCACGATGACTCTGAGGTAGATCTTATTATCTCTATTTATAGGTAAGAAAACCAAAGCTGTCAAATAACTTCCTTAAGGTCACAGAGAGCATTAGAGCTCAGATTCAAAACTAAGTAGGAAGAAAAACCAACCCAGAACAATTAGGACTTCAAAGCCCATGGAAGTCTCTACATCATACCACATCATGCGGTCATATACAAAAAAACCAAAAACCTATAATAAAAAAATATTTTCCAAGCTTCTGTTCTCCAGATAACAATGTGTCTTCATGAGGACCATAGTAAATGAACCATGCAGGAAATCATTAAGACCCAAACTTTGCAGTTAATAGTCTAAGTAAACTTAAAGAAGGCACTCCAAGTAAAAGCACCTAACTACCCCAGGTATTGCATGGCGACACCGCCAAATATGACTGTCACTGTTGAAAACACACCAAAGCCATCATACTGGGTGTTTACTTATTTTGGAACACTTAAGTAGTTTTTCCTTAACTAAATTTCTCAGTCAAATGAAAAATGTATTTTTGTGAATTCAACGTTCTGCATTGCCAATTTAAGTTTTATCTTTGAAACCTTCAGGTTCTGTATCTTACTGATATTTTTCATTTTGAATTAAGATCAACCTATATTGACTCTTATCAGGTACTATATTTTTATTTTGATAAATTTCAAGTTGATAGTATTAATCTACTAATTAATCTAATTAACTATATTTTTAAAAGATATTTTGACCAATGAAATATTACCAATAATTTTAAAATTATCTGAAAAAGAAAATTAAGATTTGAGGTTCAGTGAAATTTAATTCAGGCAATTTTACTGCTGTAACTAAAAAAATCACTAATGATTAAAGAAGAATGATGTTTAAAACTTTCCACTTCTACCAAATTAAAAAAATATGGATTACATATGGAGCCTTCAATTAAGCAACCGTTTCAAGCGTCAGGTGGTCTAACTTCTTTAATAAATAAATCCTCACCACTACAATGAATCACATGGTTAAATAACCACCCAGTCATTTAACCAGCCCAATCCTTTCCTAGATCTTCAGCAAAGAGGTTTTATAATTTTATTCCTCTAACCACCAGGCTATTCTCCCTTATCTGTTCACGTTGGCAAAGCTAGTTTAATTGGCATTTGAATGGCAATGATGGTAATAACAGTCAACATTTACTAGGTGGCATTTACTTCTCACAGCTGACCCAAGTGTGGCGCAGAGGTTAATAAATACAGGGGTGGGCAAAAGTACGTTTACAGTCGTTGTAAGGAAACAGACCCTCGGGGTACGATCACAGTAGCTTTGTTAACTGTTTCCCGTACCCACAACTGTAAACCTACTTTTGCCCATCCCGTAAGCAGCTGAGGCAGCATTCGAGCCCCGGCATCGGGTTCCGGGGCCCCTACTCCAAACACTGAAAACAGTCCTAGTGTCACGTCATTGCTATCTAATAAAAGACTGGTTTTTGCTTACAATTGTTTAAATCACTTCTTATAGTCTATGATTGACTGAAATATCGGGTGTCTAAAGTACATCTTTAAGCAACTTGTTAAAAAAGGAAAAAAAAAGAAAGCTTTAGTTGTCTTCACCTGTACACATACCGCTCTGCCCACAAATTTTGCAATCCAGTTCTGCCTGATTCTAAACTGCAGTCTCTTGAAGTCCCCTTCTTGGAGCTTTTCTGGCGAACGCCTTAAAAAGTGACTGAAACCTGGACAGTCTCTCTCCACCCATCCTCCCTCAGAAAAACAACTAAATTTAACTAGAATAATTACCGGTCACTGAGAATAAGACATAAGCCTTAGAGTAACTTCAAGACCCCAAAAGTCAAAAAGCAAATACGCCTTTCCCCTTCTAAACATAACATATAAAGGGGCTCATAAAGAGCAAAAAACGGGACGCGGGGCAGCGCGAAGGGCCACACTCTGGGTGCTCCCGCCCAAGGGTCCGGGTCCTTCTCCGCGACGGGGGCACGTCCTCGGGCTCGGCGACCCTCCTTCTCAGGGCACCTAACCTCCTTTTCCAGCCCGCCTCCGCGGGACCCGCGAGCCCCGTCCCGGGCAGGGGCTAGTGGGCCTCGCCATGTAGGGCCCGGGGAAGGACCCGAGATGGGGTGCAGGAGGCGCCCCCAGGGTCCCGCTGCGGCAGGGGCGGGGGCCAGCGGTTGCTTAGGGACCGGGAGGGTCAGCAGGTGATGGGTGCAGGAGGCAGGCGGAAGAAAGGGGGGGGTTGGGAAGTAGCGTCCGGTCCGTCCGCGCAGCCAGCTCTGTCAAACCTCCAACTCCCCCAGTCCCGCCGCCGCCGAGAGCTCTACAGGGCGAGGAGGGAAGTCCACAAAGTGCTGGAGCAGAGGGGAGAAAATTCAAAACGAGTCTACTCAACCTCGTCTTGGCTCCGAGGCCCCGCCATGGAGACCAGCGCAATGCGCAGGCGCGTCCCCTCCGAGCGCGCAGCGCGGTAGCGTGAGGTAAGACCCCTATCGGCCGCCGTCGTCGGCTTCGAGTCCGATTCCTCCTCCTTTTGTATTTCCTTCCTCTCATCTGGATTTAAAGCGTGAAGCTAGAGGCGAGAGCCCACGAAGAATCTCGCTAGTGACGTTCTGCTTGTGAGTATGCGTGGTAAAATAAAAGTGGAACGGCTTTAGTAAGTTAAAGCTGAAGACAGAGAAAATATAATAAATACCTGGCTGGAGTGGGGATGGCTTAATGCAAGTAAAATATCCTGAGGGCAGCGTGGCAAAAATGACTACAATTCCCAGTGGTTACAGCGTCTGAGAAGCGCTGCTTTCTGGGGGTTGTAGTATCCAGGAGGTTGAAGTATCGGGTCTAAAGACACCCTCTTACATTAAAAAAACGAGAGCGAGAGAGCAGCAGATTTGATTTGGGCCTTTCTGTATCTCCATACCCGATCACAGGCCTAAATATATGAAAATGCAAAAAGATTAAAGGGATACTCCGTCTTTAAGACTATGTTTTCCTAATCGACGACTCCTAAATCTAGGAATAGGTAGTTGATGTTTGAGGGCTGGGCCTCTGGAGAAGGGCCTCGTGGTCTGGCTCGGTGAGGAGGCCGGACGGGAGAAAGCGGAATCCCAGCCCCGTACCGCAGCTCGTGCTCCCCTGAGCTGCCTCTTTTTGTAATCCTAAGGGACCAGAGAGCCCGCTGTCGGACTATTACCCCGTGCGTTTCCGTGGGCAAGTTTTGTGTGTACCCCCCGCGATGGCTCAGCTCCAGACACGCTTCTTCACTGACAACAAGAAGTAAGCAAGCTCCTCTCCTCTCTTCTCTCCTCTCCCCTACCAGCGGTCCTTTCCAATGACTCCTTCGGTATAACCTTGTGGATCCCAGTGTTTGCTTTATTCACTTTTACACTCCCCTCTTTCTTTTCTCTTTTTTTTTCCTGGATTCCTCGCTTGACCGTATTTTCCGCTCAAGTGTAAGCGGTACCTCTCGAGGATTTCTCAGGGACAGACCTGTGATACCTCCTTACTGCCAAGCTTCTCAGATTCTATACAGTTTAAATTGTGAATGTACAGGAGCCAGAGGTCTTCAGGCTTGCTTCCCGAATGAAGCGTGTTATGTAATTTAACAATGGACCAAGTCATTACAGGCTCTCTGCCAGTGGTGTTTCAGTATGTGTGTGTATATATACATCTCTGTGTGCATACATGTGTATATATACACATTTTTAACAATAGTCCCCAGGTCTGTAGCATTCATTTGAAGCCTAATTTCATTCTGCCTTATGGTGTGTTTGTAGCTTTATGAGTTGACCAGGTAAATCGTATCCACTCCTTGTATTGTTGCTTACATAGACATGAATTGTATTATCAATGCACATGAGTACATATACGTAGTCTCAATACTTCCCAAGGAATGTGATGATGCAATATCATGGCCACTGTACTTTTTCTAATTGAAATTTTTATTATTGTTGATTCACGTGAAGTCTTAAGAAATACACCACTGTATTTTAACCCGTGAGATGTCATAT